ATAATAATAATAATAATAATAATAATAATAATACATGTCATAGTGATTTCGGCTGTGGTGCAATATATCCAGCAAACAGCATTGCAAATATGACACAAAGTAGGCCGTACAAAGACATCCGAATTCACACCATGCTCAAAATTAAAGACAAGTGGTGCTGCTTAAGGTATAAAGGAGGGAGAGAGAGAGAGAGAGATTTCTGTAATCCCACAAAATTGTTTTCCAAATTGTATCTCCGGAATCCGTTCTTTCTTTTTTATCCTTCAGCTTTGTTGCTTGCAAAACATACTTTCTCCTTTTCACGGATGAATGCAAATGCTTATTTAGAACGGCTCTCATGTAGCAGCAATAAACACCTGCTTTATTAAAATATATATTTATCAGGAAACTTACCTTCCACCAGTGACGTCAAGAGAGTAACATTGGCAGCTTTGCGTCTCCCTGCTGGTAGATTTAATCCGATTTTATCTAGCTTTTCTCTTAAAGATCTTCCGCCATTCTTAGATTTGGCCCTTTAAAGTAAATGACAAAAAATGTTATTAAATGTCATTATAGTGTTGTTATTAGGTTATAATTATTTATTTTACTGCTAATCATTATATATGCTATACATTATACATGCAATTTATATTTTATATATTTACATATCATTTATATTAAAATGTCTAATATTTATAATAGCCTGGAGCACGTATAACCTTGAATAATAATTTTTAAAAAGTCAGTCGTGTGTCCCCCAAGAGACCTGTTTAATTTAGATAACATCTCTTCGAGTTACTTTTTTTATGCTAGAAGAAAGACATGATGCTTTAGAGGATACCATGGAATGTTTCAAAAGTAAAAATCTAAATAAACAAATAAATAAAACAGTTATTTTATTTCCCACTGTCATCACGTGAGATAGAGTCTATTAACTCCTGTTGCATTAAGATATTACAGCATGTGCTCATTGCGATTGGGTAGGCCACTACAAGTATATAAAAAAAATTAATTCAGGTTCAGAATTTTGCCTGTGTTGAGGTATGATTTTTAATAGGCTGTCATGTCGGTGGGTTGTGGCGACGGAAAGCGCTTGATAATAAATAATTACTGATTTATGGATGGATGTCCAGCTCACCTCCTCAAGACCCCACCGAGCAGGGAGGCGTTCAGGCACTCAGGCGGAGAAAGACGTCTCTGCACCTCCGCTACTGTGACTTTGTACTTTGACGTTGAGCTAAGAAGAGACAGACGACCCGGAACCGAACAAAACACTTCGTTTGGGTTTACCACACCTCCAAAAAGCCCGTCTTTATTTATCGGTATAGCAGAGACATTGCTGTTGTTCTTGGATATGGAAACAGGACCTTGAGAGAGAGAAAAAAAACATGATTAGGCCCCCCATTTCAGTCTACAGCACCAACAAAATGGAAAAAGATGAATTGCTATGCAGCAGGCAGCTTTTGAGTAAGATTAGACATATGCGTTTATATGCACATCATCTCGCACGCCAATGTGGAATCAAAGGCAATATGGTCTTATCAGAGCGGAAGGAAAATAGATACCACAGCAATAGCTTTTCATTCAGCCCATGAATGTAACTGCTGCAATATGCCCAAAGTAATGAAGTGGCCCAGCCATCAAAATATTTCATATTATCGCAATGGTGACTTCACACCAAGCTTGGAGAAAATTACAGTTCAGCAAGCATGGCATTACCTCAAAATTTCCACTAACTGCTCAGTGTAGCTGTTATTTGTTGGACATCATAAAACAGAAACTGGTAAACGAAAAAAAGAGAGGAAAAAACGTGGCATACTCCACGTAAATGTTTATAAACGTATAGGCTATGTATTTTTATTAATAATAACACTAATAATAATAATAATAATAATAATAATAATAATAATGCATTTTAATCCAATACTTCCTACAAATAAATATGTGTATTATTTATCATAATAGTTTTAATCTCGAAACAGTTGGTAACCTTGTCACACAAGCACATCGAATGACATTCACAAATCCGAAATACACACACGAACGCTTACAAATAAATGTTCAGGCCTAAATCCTCCAGCAGCGCCCGTTGTTTCTTTATGTGCTAACCGGAAACAAAAGCACAAGCACTACTGGATAGATCACTAGTGACATTAATAGCTCAGGGGAGACTAATAGGGACAAGATCAGTTAAACGCAATTATTATGTGTAGGCTATGTGCAATGTGTATTTTTGTGGATTTATACATGGTGTATCAAATTTAATATGTCAAAGCTTTTACATTGTTAAAACGAAGGAAATGAAATCTAGCCACAGCGCAAGTAAATATGAGAAAACAATTCGATCTCAACACACTCCTTCTCCTGCAGCCCTCATTGACCATCTGCGATCCGAACGAAACAAAGAGGCACGTAATTGCAAAATAATGACTTAAACTGAAATTTACACAGAAGGCATATGTTAAATTTACTACAAATGTGTTTCATAGTAAACTAAGTCTCTACGCACGTTTATCATGTCATCTTTGAATGAGACATTCCGCAAATTTTATTAAAGACTACCATTTTAAATTTAGTCACAGACTAAGTCAAGCACCAACATATTAACTCACACATAATAGCTACACGAATAGTGCCCGCTATGGAACACTTGGTTAAAATGGGTTGTGACTGTTCGTCAGGCTATCTCAAGGCCTACAAATTAACCTGATCTATCTCAAAGCAAGCACGGGTAGACTTTACGAGCGGAGAGCTGCTAGTGGAAGCACGTACGGTATTTGAGAGGAAATTGCTTACCTTTCTTGATTACAGTTT